TCAGAAATAGATTAACACATTGAAAGGGAAAAGGAGTAGACTGATGAAATGGAAGACAGAATTAAGGAGATTGACGACAAATACCTGAACACTTCTTTGGAAAGGGATCAATCAGAAAAAAGATCAAGACAAAGTGAAGAAAGCCTAAGGTCCATGTGGGATACCATCAAAAGGAATACCTACATGTCATTGGAATTCGAGAATTGTTTGCCGTCGAGTCGGCCCCGACTCATAGCGACCCCTCCTTGGGTTTCCGAGGCAGTATCACTACAGAAGTAGGATTGCCCAACCTTCCTTCCGAGGAGTGGCTGGTGGGTTTGAACCGCCAGCCTTCTGGTTAGCAGTCAAGTGCCTTAGGCACCATAGGAAGAGAAAAATAAAAACACTGAGAAAATTGTCCAAGATTTGTTGGAAGAGAACTTCCCTGATATGATGAAATATGAGAATATATCCATTCAGGAAGTCCAACTAACCCCAAACAGGACAGACCCCAAAAGAAAATCACCAAGACATATCATCATCAAACTCACCAAAACCAAAGAAAAGAAAGAATCCTAAAAACAGTACGTGAAAAACAGAAAGTTATCTATAAGACTAAGCTCAGATTTCTCAGCAGAAATCTTGCGGGTGAGAAGACAATAGGATGGTATACATAAAACTCTGAAAGAGAAAAATTTCCAACCAAGAATTATGGGCCCAGGTAAATTGTCCCTCGAATATGATGGTAAAATAAGGACATTTCCAGATAAGCAGAAATTAAGGGAATTTGTTAAAACCAGACCAACCTTACAAGAGATGCTAAAGGGAGCCCTTTGGACAGAGAAGCAACAAAAGGCAACAACAACTGACCATTAACACACATGATGATATAACCCAGAAACCAACCCAGCTATGGAAATATCCAAAGTAAAGAAGCCTACAAGATTGTAAACAGAGAACCAGAGACATCATTTGACAAAAGAAGATAAAGGCAAACCAAAAAGAGGGGAAAAAACTGTGTTGTTACAGAACTTCTAGATGGTAGGAATGTCAATACAACTACAAGATAGAATGGACAGTTCTAAGCTTGGGAAGAAAACTATAAATCACAGGGTAACCTCAAAGAAAAATGAGAAAACTTCTCAGCAAAATAAAAAAGAGGACCAGCACAAATATTTAACAAATACTAAAACAACAGCAACAAAGGAAGTGATAACACAATTCATAAACAAAACAAGCTCAGCATAGAAAATTTTATGGAACAAAGAAATCGGCACCACGAAAAAGTACTAACAAAAATGACAGCAACAAATTCATATTTGCCAATAATTATGCAGCACTAAAGAATAATGTAGAGTCTGCAAAACACCGCATAATATGGATGAACTTGGAGGACATTATGCTGAGTGAAATAAGTCAATCACAGAAGGACAGATATAGTATTAGTTTGTTGTTGTGGAGGGTCAAGGAATATATAGAGGGAAACTTTTTTGTTGGTTGCCAGGGTGGAAGGGGAGGGGAGGGAACACTACAAGAAGAAAAAAAAGACATGCATTGACCCATGTCACTTTAGTTTTGTGTATTTCACTGTACATAAATTATATTTCAATAAAATGCATTTTAAAAAAATGAAAAATTCAGAGAACACTTTAATTTTAGATTCTAATTCTAGATTATTGAGAATAGTCAAAATTTACGAGGATGAAATACGAGCTCTAGGAGGAAGATCAGGAGGAAGATGAGACAATCTACTTCCACAAAGATGTGCAACCTTGGAAACCCAACAGGGGCTGCTATGAGTGAGTCGACTCAAAGGCAGTGGGTGGATCTCTAGGCCAAGGTGGGAGGACAGGACCTAGAACGGGGATTTATGCCTTCCACACACCTGAAACCCTGAAGGCAAAAGTATTCCCCACTGGAGAACAGAAAGAAAAAAGGAATGGTGATCCCACAGAGGATCTGGCTACACCAAGTCTTCCAGGCGTCATACCTTTGGTGACACCAGGAGAGCACCAATAGCATCCAGCATTCCCTAACCAGTCAAGGCTTTCACCTGTGAACTCCTTTTCCACAACATAACACAGTGTGAGAAGGGGAACTGCAGTTTTAGAAAACAAAGAAAATGCTCCACTGTCCAGGGCAAGTCAAGAAAATTGGGAAGAGACAGAACGAGGATGTCTCTGGAGGGCCGGGTCTCAGCCTGCACAGCCACGTGAGGGAGGTGACCGCAAGCATCCAAATCTCGAGGAGCCACATATATACAAAGGGAAGGCCCAGGGACAGTGGAGCAGGGCCTCCGGATCCTCCGTGGGGCCCCCTCCCTCAGACTCTCTGCCATCTCTCTGCTTCACGGAGACCCGCAGTCCCACAACACATACCTGGTCCCTCAGCAATTCATACAGAGCCTCCCACACTTACGAGAAGAAACAGAACTCACCATTTCCTGGCTCCACCTTCTGGCGGTCTAAAGGTTCTCTAGAACCCAAGAAGCCTCTTCAGGAAGCAGGTTAGGAGGGTAAGCACAGCACTGGCCAGCTTGGAAGCAGATGAACAATGTTTGGTCCAAATGCCAGTCAGAGCAGTTGAAAGCCTTCCTGGGGATGCAGCCCTGTGTCCCCAGCTACCTGGACTGGCTGAGTTCTCTGTGCACCACACTTCAGACCTGAAATGCAAAAAGGATGGGAGGAGACAGTGTTGAAGTAAGCAGGGAGTGACAGGTTCAGAGCTCGCTCTCAGGGTCAGTGTGATGGTCCCCGCTGGCGACATGTGCACTGAAGCCAGGACACGCTCTGGCCTCCAGAGCACATGCCTGCATTCTCCATGGAGTTTCCCAGGCCTCTCCTTTCTGGCAACACGACCGCAGATGAATGAATTCACTTATCCAAACTCCTGAGAATCAACCACGCCTGATTAGACTGTGTAAGTGGACCCCGATTTTTGTCCAGGGCGTCAGGGGTTCAAAGTTGAGGTTGTGAGTTAATTCATGTAGCTCTGTCACCCATAAGTCAACACAACACTGTTATGTGACATATGGGTGAGCTTTCATGAACAGCATATTTTAAAGTTTTGATGATGAACTACACATGGATCATTCATTTTCAATTATATGCACTTAAAGCCCTTCCAGGGAGCTCTGGTAGCGTAGTATGTAAGGCACTCGACTGCTAACCAGAATTCTGGCAGTTCAACCCCACCAGCCACTTCTCGGAAGGAAGGTTGGGCAATCTACTTCCATAGTGATACTGCCTCGGAAACCCAAGGAGGGGTCGCTATGAGTTGGGTCCAACTCAACAGCACACAACAACAACAGGTGCTAATGAGCCGTCTCTGCCTCTGTTCTCTTTGCTCTGCACTCTGCCTCCCGCCCAACGTGACTCCTAGGCATCCTTTGCATCAGTGGAAATGTTCATTGTCTCTCTCTCTCGCTGTTGCATGATCTTTCCACCAGTGTCTCCTTTGTTAGCATTTGTTTTCCCTGGATGACTCTCTCTAATGTCACTGTCTTAAATTTAATCCACACCTTTATTTAGACTTATTATTTACAGCATGAACTCAGAGCTTGTAGAGTAGGTAGAATCTCAAGACCCACCCTAGAATTCCCAAATCAAGACCCCCAGGTTCTCCACAGTGACATTCAAGTAGGAGAGGCAGTCACTGATCTGTTGTTGGTGTTGTTGTTATGTGCTGTCCAGTCGGACTCGACTCCTAGCGACCCCTCCTTGGGTTTCCGAGGCAGTATCACTATGGAAGTAGATTGCCCAACCTTCCTTCCCAGGAGTGGCTGGTGGGTTTGAATCCCAGCCTTCTGGTCGGCAGTCAGGTGCCTCAGGCACTAGGCCACCAGCGCTCCCATTCACTGAGCATACATCAAGGCCAGAGCACTGTGCCCACGGAAGCCCTCTGAATCACCGGCAGCTGCCTTCTATCACTGCACTCTCTCCCTGACCCACCACCAGTCTCCACGTCTAAGGCTCCTCACAAGTCTTCCTTGACGTGTTCAGAAACAAATTCCTGCCTGACGTCCCTCAGTCATGGTTGCTATTCCCAAATTTGTATGCAGCACAGGGACCGCTACACGCCGGTCAGGGGCTGTGCACGGGCCTCCCCCAGAATGCTCTACATGACGACCCAATGTCCTTCCCTCCTCCAACCTGCCTCACACAGACCCCCCCCACGCACAGTTTGCTCTCCTTCAGATGGGGCTGACTTTGCTCTAGAGATGGCAGATGCTGGGCTCTCTGCGGCCTCAGGGATTCCCACACTCAATTTTCCCGACTGAAATCCTCTTTCCACCCCCACACACAGCACGTGCTATCAGCCCCACAGAACCAGGCACTTCAATATTTTCACTCGTTTCCTTACGCAGGCCTCCCATTTTGCCCTCATTCCTAATACTCCCTGTTTTGACATTGGGACTAAGCACGGTTTGTGCTCCAGGAAGCCCTCCGTCTTTTCAGAACTGGGGTCTTTGGGGGCACACGCTGTGGTTCCAGCGGCAGCGTCCACTCCAACGGAGACACACGCACTGGGGGTGCGACCTCCAGGCAGCCCTCCTCGCCCGGAGGGAGATCGGTCAGCAGCGTCACACTTCACAGCAGAGCAACGCGGACCGGCCCAACGGTTCCGCCCACCATCTTGATAAAACGTCTGCCTTACAGCCAAAGAAACGCCTCCCAACGTCCCCGCTACTAACGGTTTTCCTCCGGAAACTGGGATACGCTGGAGCCTGAAAGTACGAAGCAGTTCCAACTCGGGTCTCTCAATTCCTCACCTTTCCTAAATACTTACAACCACGAGAGGAAGAAAGAGGAATTCCCCTCACAATCTCCAGTTCTGAATGACCAGCCACACGAGACACAAGTCCTGTCTGATGAAGCATCGAAAACAGAGGCGGCATTTTAGGCAGCAAATAGTGATCAAGAATTCCGCCCCTGAAATACCACCAGACAGGCCCTTGGCTTCAGAGCCGGCCCCTTATGAGATCCCTGTCCGTGGACGAGAGAGGAAGGACGCGATGTTACCTGCTTCTGCACCGAGAGACGCAGATCCGTCCGCAAAGCGGCTGCGGCCGCCTGGGCAGGATCGCGCCCGAAGCGGCGGCAGCGACGCCTGGCGACAGGAGGCCCCGCAAGTGCGCAGGAGAGCGGGGGCAGCGCTCTCGGACAGGCACGGAGCCTGCAGGGCACCTGATGCTGAGCGGCCAACTTCAGACAAAGGAAAACTCCATCCGCCAGCGACCCAGCGGGAGACCAAAAGCAGCAGCCAGCTGAAAAGGCGTACTTCCGCCTCTCGTTTCTGGACTCGCGGTGTCACAGACAAGGTCTTCCGTAGGAGAACAGGAGTGCACGAAAAAAAACGGCTGTAGGGTGAAGTGGTTCCCGCTTGTGTATATTTTTCGTTGTTGTTGTTGTTGTTATGTGCCCTCGAGTCAGACCTGACTCATAGCGACCCCTCCTTGGGTTTCCGAGGCAGTATCACTAAGGAAGTAGGATTGCCCAACCTTCCTTCCGAGGAGTGGCTAGTGGGTTTGAACCGCCAGCCGTCTGGTTAGCAGTCAAGTGCCTTAGCCACTATGCTACCAGACACATATTTTTCGTGTATAAAGAAAATCCTAGGGTTTCTTCAATACGTAGATGAACTGAAACGCAGATCTCAGTAATGAGAGATGATAGCCTTGGGGAGAAGGAAACATTGAAACTTGCACATTTGACCCTTGCAAAAAAATTCACTACATTCTTTACAGATACAGTTTCTTGACTAATCATGACTATTTCCACATCTTTAGTATTGATGAAATTTCTAGTTTCACTTGTGTTTCAAGTTTTCTCCTCCCCGGGTTATCAGGTATGTTACCCTAGGATCACGGCACAGACTGTGCACCGCCAGTGATCTCACCAAATTCTGAGGATCCTGGAGTTTAGCAGGATGAGAGGCAGGAGAATATAGCCAGCAGATGAAAAAAGGTGAAGTACCTTATGTTAGAGATATGCCACGCCATCTTGCATGGCTCTTCCGGGTTCTTCTTCATTCCCTGCTGCCCCACCCAAAGTCATAAGTCAGTTAAAGGAAGTCGAAACTGAGCTTCCTGCAAGGCGCGAATTTTAAAAGGCAACATAGCCTCTGATAGCTTAAGACCTCTTCCCCCAGCTCTGATGTATAACCTTCTAACCCCAGGTCTATATAAGACCACCCTCTCCCCTGCTCTTCCTCTTCCTCTCTTCTTCTCTTCTTCCCTTCTTCCTCTTTCTTCTTCTGTTCTCCCTCTTCTTCTCTTCTTCCTGCTCTTCTTCTTCTGTCCTTCCTCAGTGCAGGCGCCCTTTCGCCTCTTTAATAAAACCTCCTGTCGGGTACCCTGGTGTGTGGCGTGGTCATTGAGTGCCGATGGAGCTCTAACACCTTAGAAAATAAAAATTAGAAACAATGTTTACTCTTATCTAATAAAATTCACAATATGTTGTAAATGTATGCATATAACACAATGAATTTCTACATTTCGATATACACTCTGAGATAAATTTAGGTAAAACTTCCATCACACAAAAACATTCCCTCTTGTCTTTTTCCCAGTTGATATACACGAGGTATTAACAAGTCTTCTATTATTTCCAGAGAGATGGAATAACATATTAAGTGTATTGTGTCTGACTTCATCTAGACAACATACCTGCTGTGAGATTTTGTTAAGGTACATGTTAACATTTTTTATTATTGCTATGCTTTATTCAATGGATGAGTATACTACATTTTTTCCTATTCATTTTTAAATTTTGTTTCACTGTTAGTTTGTATTATAATGTACCATATAGTCTATCTTGCTGATTATTTAATGAGTTGTTAGAAAGAATATCTCTTCAATTGTTAGGTAGATTGTTCAATAAATGTCCAATAGGTCAACAAATGGTGTTGTGGCACTCCACGTGTTTGGTGTTCTGGTATTTTATATGCTTCCCGTAAGGTCGCAGTAAGGAGAAGAGGATGCACAAAAGTGGGGTTAAAGAGAAGTTTTTATTCTGCGCTCCCGGGAGAGGTTTACGGGTCCCCGAGAAGGGCCCGGGCGAGGTTCACAGTCCCTGAGAGGGGCCAGAGAAGTTGCGCTGCCCAGGTGAAAGAAAGCGTTTTTTATAGTGATTTTCTCCCTGGTTCTTAGAGGACTGGAGTGAGAGCAGGGTATGTGTTACAGGGACCAATAAGGTTAAAGTACCCCATTAGCATGGGGGCAGGAAGCAGAGTTGAAGCACTTCATTAACATAGTGGGCAGGAAATGGTTGGGGGCTTTCGTGAGTAAGAGTCAGGTGCTGGGGTCTTGCCTAAGCAAGGGGTACGTGCTGGGATTTGGTATGGGCTCTGGTCAGGCACCTCCTTGCTTGACCAGTTCTTATAATTCCCTCCAGCTCAATCATTCACCTGCCTGGCCAGCCATGTTTCTGCCTAACACTTCCTGACTTCCAAATTTGTCAGTAAGGTGAGAGGAGGTTAGTAAGAACATAGTCTGGAAAACTAAGAGAAATATGATGAGATCAAAATGCTTTTCGGGATCCAAGGATGACAGTCATGATTAAGAGACTCTCAAATGCTTGGAAAATGTTGTTTCTTTTTCATATTATAGGAGCTCTGGTGGTGTAGTGCCTAAGGCATTTGACTGGTTACCAGAAGGCTGGCAGTTCAAACCCACCAGTGACTCCTCGGAAAGAAGATTGGGCAATCTACTTCCCTAGTGATACCACCTTGGAAACCCAATGAGGGGTCACTATGAGTCTAGCTGACTCAACAGCAGTGTTTTTTCTTTCTTTCTTTCTTTTTTTTTTTTTTTTGGTTCATATTATAATCAGGGGCACATCATATTGTTTGGTAGTAAGGATAGGAAAATGGCCCTGACATCATTCTGTCTCAAGGACTTTCTAAACCACAAATGCTGGAAGAGCCTAAGCACAGGCAAAGCAGACCAACGGCAAAAGAGACACAGTGCTTACGCCTGGAACTTTACCAGCAAAGGGCATGCACAGTCACACGTAAGGACAAACCAGAGTAACCCTCTTATTAACATGAGATTCTAAGGAATCTGCATTGCGGTTTTGACTTCCCTGGTGGGCAATCAAGGAGGATTACAGGAAAGTTAAATGGCTGAACAGGAAAGATTAGCTGTATCAGGAAAGAAAATAGAAGGGATGTGATTGCTACAATGAAGTAACAAAGTTTACCAGTAGGTCCTGCCCAAATCCAACCGCTGAAATTAAGATGATATAAAAAGATATGACTACTAATGGCCCAGATCCTTCAGTAATGGAGGTTTGGGTCATCCCAGCAGACAAAGAACCATGACCAGCTGAGGCGCTTGCTGAGGACAAGGGAAATATAGAATGGGTGGTGGAAGAAGGTAGTTCCGAGTATCAGCCACGGCCACATGACCTGTTGTAGAAACGAGGACTGTGATCATTACATTTCTTAATTGTATATGCATATCGAGTAGTTTTGTTTCCTTCTGTTATGACCTGTGAAATGTAAATAAGGTTAATGTGTTTCGGTTGTACGTGTGTTAGCATAATCATGTTAGGAGCAAATATGACTTTGTAACTGTCCTTATTTAGAGAATATATATGGTTAAGAAGATCTGTACAACTGCCAGGCTGACAAGGGTGGACTGTGATAGCTGGAGCTGTGTGTCACCTTGACTGGACGACAATTCTGAGTGGTTTAAACAATTGTGTTATGGGTTGTTCCAATAATGGGATCAGATGTATATATTTTGAGCAGCCAATCCGTTGGAAGGGAGTTTCCCTAGGGGTGTGGCCTGCTTCCAGTATATTTATGGACATCCTGGGAAAAAAGACACCCTTTTGTGGATCAGGATTCTGTTGTGCTGCCTACAACTATCTGTGAGCAAACAATCCACCATTCGGCCTGGAGATCTTGGATTCGTCATTCATTGGAGTCAACAGCCGGTGTACTGCCTGCCAGCCTTGAGCTCCTCAGCCCCTGCAGGAGCCTGACGTTTGATCCAAGAACTTGGGACATGCCAGCTTCTATAAGTGTGTGAGCCATTTTCCTAAGATCAATTTCTCTTTCTCTCTCTCTCTCTCTCTCTCTCTCTCTTTCTCTCTTTCTCTGTAAGCTTTACTGGTTTTGCTTCTCTAGAGAACCCAGTCTAACACATATGCCACCTCCTGAAATGGAGGAACATTTGACCAATTCTTCTTGGTACACTGACTCTGTGTATCCCTACCACTTCTTTTGATGTTTCTTGAATCATTCACTATTTTGCCCATAGAATTTTTCAATATTGCAACTTGAGGCTTAAATAGAGCCGCCCCCAAGTGAAAATCACCCCTTGAACTCTGTGTTTGCCAATCTCATGCCTTGGCCTTAGTACATATCAAAAATTTTAAAAAACGGTTTACTGTTTTCATCTACAGCTTATGTTACTGTGACATGCATAGATCTACTAATAAGACTGCAGTGTTTACTAAGTGAGAAAAAACAATTATGTGAGTTTGTATGTGTGTTTATCACAGAAAGTAGACAAAGAATTTAAGGCACAAACATATACATTGGTTTGTAGCAGAGGCAAACCTGGAATTTAATTTTCTGTCAAGAAAGCGGAGACTCAGAGCTTTAGAGAATAGTCAGTGTGGTTTTATTAAACTCAAAAATAATACAATAAAAACTAAGCTTCAATCTATCACGGAAGATCAGAAGGCAGTAGCAGCACAGGGAGACAGCTCAGTGGGCAGGAATGCATAGGGAAGAAGGACACAGGGGAAAGGTAACCACAGGGAGGAAGGGGGAAGAGAGTGGTTACATTATGGGGACTACAATCAATGTCAGGAAACAAAATGTATTTGAACTCCTTTTCTCTGTAAGCTTTCACCCCAAAAAATGTTTAAAAATTAAAAAAAAAAAACCAAACACCATCTAAACTTAAGACTTCTGCCATTTTCAGAGATACTGGGATATAAAACATTTAAAAAAAAAAAAAAAAAAAACCTGTATGGAAAATATGGGCATCTCTGGTGCTATGTAGGAAGTGATGGCTAAGCACACAATTGCTAACCTAAAGCCCAAGGGCTCCAATCCATACAGCAGCTCTGCAGGAGAAAGACCTGGGAATCTAC